AGTAAAACACATCATGAAGAGGAGCGGAGGGAAGGAGGGCGGGAGGGGAGATTAATCCTGCATCAGCTGTAGTATACACTCCCTGCGAGCCCCTGGCAATTTTTCGCATAGCTCGCCACTGCCCTGATTCTCGATGCACTGCTGTCTTAAAATTACTAAACAAATACTTTGAAATTTCCAATTACTTTGGGATGACAACAAAATTGATGCGAAAGTAACTTCGAGTTTTTACTTTCTTGCGAAAAGGAGCCATCTTTTTGGCTCACTTTTGTCCCACTAATTGGCCATATTGTTATGAACTGACGCTCCCGATGCTTGGCTGCTTCACAAGACGCACATCTGATTGCTGCACCCCGTCTATTTCTGGAATTTCAGGCGCAGTTCGAAAATGTTCAATAAGCATTTTTAAGCCCATGCCCAAAATGGGCGCTCTTGCCCATGTGGCTCCCACATACGGGCCCATCGAAGTACCTGGCACATAACTCGGGGACCATGGAAGCTAGAGAGCTACAAATTTAAGGGCATGTCTCCCGTCCGCGCAAGACTTAATAAGTTCAATCCCAGCCCTCAGGCATGCGTGGTTCCCACGTACGGGTTCGTGGAAATTTTTTGCGATTGGTTTGCTAATTCAAGAACTAGAGAAACTAAAAAGCTGAAATTTTAAGAGGATATTCCCTGAAAGGCGATGTTGGTCTGAGTATAAACTCCTCTGCAAACTGCTAAGGAGGCAAATGACAGAAAACTACAATAATTATCGAAACGAGAGAATTAGACAGGCAATAGAGCAGAGATCGAGTTTGAAGAGAGCGTGACGAGAAGTGCAGCTATGTCAAAATATCCCAGTGGCATTCTTGGACAAGGATGGACAGAGAACAGCAAATAGCAGACGCATGGGAACCATCTGCAAAAATTTTTACGAAGCTTTGTTTGCGTCTTCCGTCTATGTCCAGAATCCTAGCATCTCGAGAATCCCCTCTGTGCCTGTAATTACTCTTAACGAAGTCGAGGCCGCAGTTCGCTCTGTGAAAAAGAACAAGGCAGCGGGTTTGGATCGAATCCGCGTCAAAAAACTAAAAGACGGAAGTGGAACAATAATAAAAGCAATCAGTGCGAGATTCACCTGGTATTTTTGGAAATAGGCACGATACCAGCAGATAGAAGAGATCCAAAACCGCACTGCTGTCAAAAAAAGGAGAATTGGAGAACATAGATAATTACCGTCCAATATGCTTGTTATCCCACTTGTACAAGGTCATGCGAATAATGTACTTTTGAATCGAGAAAATTCTTGATAAGACTTCAAGAAAAGAGCAAGCGTTCAGAAAAAAATTCTCCACAATTAATCACATTTTCGCGTTAAAACAGCTGACAGAGCGGGAAACAAAGTTCCATTATGCTTGCTTTTCACTGATTTCAGAAAAGCCTTTATTTCAGTTAAACACAACGGTGTGCCTAATGCTCTCGTGAGCCAAGGAGTCGATCCAGCATACTTTGCTGTTATTAAACACTCCATGACAGGGTCGCATACGGGAATCATTTTCTTCGATGATCCTTATCAACAGATGTAAAACGAGAAATTAAACAAGGTGGCATCTCTCCGAAAGCCTTTACCAACGCACTAGAAGGAATTCTCAGAAGTATGGATGCAATAGGCGAAATTGGTATCAACCGCGCGGAATTGCAAATGCTACTATTTGCGGACGACACAGTCATTGTTGCAGAAAGCCCTCAATCGTTGCAGAATCTGCTAAACGATCTCGTAGCGAGGACAAAGACAATCGGGCTTACAGTTACCATCAGTAAAGCCAAACGGATGAACAACGCCTATTGCCTTCGGTTCGACGTGAGGCTGGACAAAGAATCTATAGAACTTGTAAACAACCATACCTACTTTGGGCGGGTAGTGCAGATGAACAACGAGTTGGGCAAAGAAACTGCGAGAAGGATAAGAAAAGGATGGATAATGTTCGCCATATTCCACGATAAGAAGAATACTTCATCTGCAAAAGCAGCAGTTTACATTTCGACCGTTCTACCAGCCATGTTATATGGGTGCGAGACGTGGAACGCCAGCTCGCTGAAGAATGGAAATTAGCAGTCTCTCAAACAGCAATGGAGCCGCGGATGATTGGCGCGAACAGCACATTCCAGATGAAGTGCTACG